GATCATGTCCTTCTGTAATTCCGTGTGGCTCGAATACGAGTTGTACCGGAGATACGCTTCGTTCTGTAACGTTATTGCAAACTCTCGTTGCGTGAATAAGTAGCTCGGAACTACACCCTCCAATCAGTCTCACATTCCCCCTACCCTTTTTTTTCGGGGTTTTTTTTTTTGCGGAAATGCTACTAACCATGGTCTTGGTTCAACCAGAGATAGAGCTGCTTCCAGGGGAAAATCCTACGATAGTAAGTCATCATCACATGGGGGTCTTTCAAATCAGCCCAGGGATCATCGAACTGCGCGAGGTGACGATATCTAAATCCACACCCCCCACAAAAAAAGAAAAAGTTTCGTGGGAGAGTCAGTTGTCGTTTCATGATTTGAGAATGAAAAAAAGAAGAAGAAAAAACAGGGGGGAGTTACAGAGTCAGAGAGAAGAGAGAGACTGAACTCCTTGGGTCCTAAGGGCGCGTCGTCATTAGCGGTAGCGAGATGATCGTGGTGGTCGAGATCCATCTCGTCATCGAACAGCTGGTCGAGCGGCACGTCCTTGAGTGTCTCCCCGAGCGCCTCGGCCTCCTGTGCGAGTGGTGGCATCGACGGACCTTCTTTCTTCTCGCCCGATCTTAATGCATCCTTGGCTCGTCCTGCTTCCATCTCCATCTCTCCAGTTTCTTCGCTCGAGGATCGCTGCATCATATATTGGGGTAGTAACAATTCTTGGACAGGCCCGCAAAAACCAAACAAATTTAAACTCAAAATTCTATTTTGCCTTAAGTTTCTGCCCGGGGGGTTTTTGCCTTCTTTTTTTTGCAGTTTTCATAATCAATATTGAAACAATCGCTCCACCAACTTAGCCGTCGTCCCGAAGCGAACCACCGAAGGAGGAATTTATAAGACTCTATAACCTCGCATTGTAGTCTCGAAAGTCATTGGCTGGGAGAAAATGTTTTTTTAGAACTTTTTGTCGGTAGACGCTATGAAAATTCTGAATAGACAGTTTTGTGCGCCAGGCATTCCTCTCTATCCAAAAATTTCAAAAAATCCTAGTGATGATATTCATTTGGGACAAAATAAAATCCTTTAAAATAAAATGAAAAATTTGGGGTCCATGATCCATAATTCCTCCACTGTCAAACAGTTTTTCCTTGAACGTGCTCATGAAAGTTGGCAACTTGACCCAAATTGTCTGATTATCCTATTCGGGCTGTTCAAATGTCAAAATTCATTGGAAGCACCCAAAAAGAAATTGTGTTGCATTTCTTTCTTCTTCCTCTGATCTCTGATCTCCTCTTATTCTCTTACATCAAAAACATCACCTGAAATAATCTAGTAGACAGCTTCTTAGTACCATGATAGTCCTTGAATGTTACAGCTTTGTAGCCTAAGAGCCTCTGTCTAGTAGTCATTTTTTAATTCATTCCAGTCTCAAAGATATGTCTCATTGATTGTTTTGTGATTTTATTT